TATGGCATTTGGTTATAGCAACCCTAAAGGCCACCACCGTCTCTTAAATTCTATCTCATACAAATCTATTGATTCTGGTGTGTAAACATACCTGGAGGTAAGTACTCGTTTACTACTCTCATCTACATTAGGACTATTTCCTAGTCTTGCCAGACTAGGGGCCTACCACTCTCTGTAGGATTCCCATTCTCCTCTCTCATTTTAACATAACAGTACATTTGAAGGCTCTCTACTATAATAAGAAGTACACCCCAAAGGACCTTATTGTGTTAGATCCCAAATCCTGTCCTCCTGTTTACCTTCTAGGCATAAACTCCTTCCATCTCTGTTTTCCTCTTTCACTCTCACTTAAGCCATAGTGGGTATTTGCAATTTCCTCAAATGTGACACACCTTTTTTCTTCCAGCTTGGAGATTTTATACATGCTGTTTCCTCTACTTACATAAGTGTGCATCACAGCTTTCTGTCTGGTGACTTCAATTCAATCCTCTGGTCTTTGTTAAAATATTACTTCCTTGAAAAGGAAATCATTATACACTCCTCCTAATTTTAAATTTCCTAAAACTTTTGGCTCATACTTTTCCCAGTTAGCAACCTATTGCTCTCAGTATCTCTCAGCTCCTAAGCAAATGCTATGTAGAAACAAACTGCGTTCCTTTATGTCCTCCTATACAGTAAGCATGGTGCTGAGATTTCTCAGTAGAGGGCGCTAAAGGAACACTGCAGTGAGCAAAAATGTGTTTCCCAAGTGCTACAGGGAGGGCTAGTGGAGGTGGGGGTCTGTGAACATCACGGGGTGATTTGACCTAGACAGGTACCCAGAACACGTTATTCCCTTGAGCCTTTTCAACCTTACAATGGCCTCGCCAGCATCTTACTGCAACTCTTTCCATATAAGCATTGTAAGGTTCAGGTCCTCCTGCCCATCCCGAGACCTTGACTCTCTATTCTCTCCCTTCCTCTCTTACAGTGCTTTCTACATCACTTTTGCCAGGCCCTTTGAGAGAGGAATGTCTCCTATTCAAGGCCTCCTACCACCTCTTCATTCTCATAACATAACTATGTTTCAGCAAATAGCTGATGTTTCCTTGCCCCACTAGTACTCCAAAGTGCTGCTTCCTGGTTGTCTTGTGACCATGGATTAACTCTAACTTGGCAAAGCAGTGAGTTGTTCTTCTATCCACCAGATTAATCTCTTCCACGAGAACTGAATTCCTGGCCTTTTAGAGGGGTATGCTTTCTCAGTTTCTCCTTCCTTGAATAGGCTTTCCTGATGCCATAGCCATAGTCACTTTTCAAAAAATTGATGTTAGATGAAATGAACCCCAAGATAAACATTCAAATGTTTTTTTCCTTTCATGTGATTGTTTCTAACATATTTATAAGATGATTTCGTTGTGCCGGGTGCTGGTGGCTCACGCCTGTAATCCTAGCTACTCAGGAGGCTGAGATCTGAGGATCGCGGTTCAAAGCCAGCCCGGGCAGGAAAGACCGTGAGACTCCTATCTCCAATAAACCACCAGAAAACCAGAAGTGGTGCTGTAGCTCAAGTGGTAGAGCGCTTGCCTTGAGCTGAAGAGCTGAGGGACAGCGCCCAGGCCCAGAGTTCAAGCCCCACGACCGACAAAAAAAAAAAAAAAAAGATGATTTCTTTGTTGCTTTGTATGTCCCTCCCCCACGATATAACCCCTGCTTTCACTGTATTTCATGTCGGTATAATTTGTGGAGGGGAAGGGCAAAAACAAACCGTTTAAATAGGGATACAGGTGGACCCATTGCAACAATGAGATGTACAAGACATTATGTCAAAAAACGAACTTTACAACTTTGGTGGGGGTTGGGGGGAGGTATGGGAGGGGAGATGGGAAGGGATGGGAAGGGGAAACAAAGGAGGAGGCAACAATGCTTGATAAGAAATGTACTCATTATCTTGCCCATATAATTGTAACTCCTCTGTACGGTATTTTCACAATAAAAATAATTTAATGTTTTTTTTTAATCAACCTGTTATGTGATTCTACCTCTCAGTCCAACCAGACTGCTATCATGCTCCATCTTTAGAATCACAGTTATGTAGTTTTGTGTAAATTCATTTACTCATTTCATTCCTCCCTGGGACTGTATGTACAAACAGGGCAGGCATCATGTGTGTTTTGTTGCCTTTCCAGCACTTACTGAGTGCCTGGCTTATAAAAATGTATTCAATAAGTATTTATTGCATGAATGGCTACTGTATGTCTGAGTTCATTTTCTGCTAATTTATTCTGTTATGTTCTTCTTGTGCCTCATTAACTCTTCTTTCATTGCTATCCACTCTAAAGATCAGACATAATATATTCTGGAATTTGAAGCACTACACACATCTGATTTTAGCTCTTTGAAAACAAAACTATGTTTTTTGAAAAATATTTTACCATCTCCAAATTAAACAATATATCATAATCCTGGTCACAATTGTAGTTACTTAGAATATTCTTTTCTTAGTTATGGCCAAATCACAAGATCTATATTTCTTTTCTTTCTTTCCTTCCTTCCTTCCCTCCTTTCTTTCTTTCTTTCTCTCTCTCTCTCTCTCTTTCTTTCTTTCTTGTCGGTCGTGGTACCTGAACTCTGAGCTTGGCCGCTGTCCCTCAGTTCTTCAGCTCAAGGCTAGTGCTCTACCACTTGAGCCACAGTGCCACTTCCAGTTTTTTCTGCTTATGTGGTGCTGAGGAATTGAACAAGGCAAAGCACTCTACCACTAAGCCACCTTCCCAGCCTGATCTATATTTCTTTTTTAAAGACAGTTGCAAATATTTAAAAACTAACTAGAATTGCTACTATAGTTCTAGTTTTTCACATAAATTTCACTTAACAGGCCTGTTCTGTAATTCCAATGACCAGACTCAGTATTAGGAAATGAGGAGTGGTGGGGATTATGGAAAATTATGTTGCGCATGCTTTACCTGCATATGTTTAATTAAAAATTATGACAATACCATACGAGCCAAACACAAAATCTGCAGGCAGCACCATTCATCTGAATGTCACCTGCCTGGCAAACCCATACCTAAAATATTGGCTTCAAGGATCATTCTAAATTTCAAGGACCAGGAATCTTAAAACAAGAAGTTGCTTGACTAAAAGTGGTTATTTATTTTTACTCAAGGACAATAAAACTATCATCTACTATTATCACTGTTTCACAGAGGTAACAACCATTTTCAGTGAAAGCCAGGAAGGACAAAAATCTCAAGATACCAATCTCAAGAAAAATCTAGCTTACCTTAGTTATTATTAGTTTTTTTGTTTGTCTCTTGACTAGATGGAAATTCACTAGGTTACAAATCAGAATTATCCTGAAAGCTTAAAGAAACCACACACAATTTGCAGGATCACACAGTTGGAGATTCAGGAGGTAAAGCAAAGGAGATGTTTTGCAGGTGTGTTCTAGGAAACTCCTCTGGTGCTTTTGAAATAAATCTAGTTTATAAATTCAGGTCTGCTCCACTTCAATCCCCAGAACGAGAAATCATAGACAAACTATGATTTCTTATTCTGTTTAGAGAGAATCCTATTTTCCTGCACTGGGGGGAGACAAAGTTTTTCCAAGTAGCTCTACAGCTCCATTGCTATAAAAGACAGAGCATTCCATGTCTGTGTCACAAATATTTATTTGTTCTATAATCTAGGAACAGAAATTCTTCACAATAATCACTATGCAAAATCATTCCTCTTTTTTTAAAGTGTATTGATTTCTTTATTGACTTGTTCCAGAAAGAGATTAAGGTTTTTTATATGCTTGCATACATACATATTTATTAAAGTTAAAATTAAGAAACTAGAGAAATGTAAAATGAAGGCCAGAAAATAAGATTGCATCATGAATGAGGCCAATGACTGAAAGCTGGTGCTTTGAACTTTGATAAGAGGTCACAAATGCGCTCACAGTTAACAGTTAAGCCACTAGGGCAGAAGTCAGTGGGACACAGTGGGTCCTCAGTTAGATGGCAGATGCATATGTTCCTTGGGACACGGCGTCTATTGAATGCTTACAAACTGTTGCTACAGATTTCTTTTTTTTTGGTAGGTTGTGTGGCTGGGCATTGTCCCTCAGTTCTTCCAGGCAAGCATTCTACCACTTGAGCCACGGTACCACTTCCGGTTTCCTGGTGATTTATTGGAGATAAGAGTCTTCCTGCCTGGGCTGGCTTTGAACCATGATCCTCAGATCTCAGCCTCCTGAGTAGCTAGGATTACAGGTGTGAGCCACCAGCTTCCGGCTGCTACCAAATGAACCAGAGGTTGGAAATTGAGATTTCTGTGTGAAATCTCTGATTCAATCATGTTTGCATCTGATTCACAACATAATACTGGATTGCACATGGCTAAGGAAACATGTGAGTTTGTGAGATATTAACATCACTGGAAGAGATTTCCCCAATGACACAGGCCCAGAGAGACCCATCTGGGGAGAGTACTGACTGCTGATTTTGACGCTATCTTATAAGACTCCTATGAGATTGCAACCTTCACTTACTGTTAGATCACTATTCTTAAATAAAAAAAAATCTGGGAAAAACAATGAACTATTCCAGGTTTCTTTTTTGGTACTGTGCCTAAGAAAACCAGACCTGAATTCTGCCACTCAGGAAACAGTGTATAGTCAGTGCAGCCCTGCTGCCTTAGGCCCACTTTGATTTCTCTCTGGTACCAGGAATTTACTTTGGTTCTTACTTTCTTGATATGAAAGATTTCACAGAGGAACTGAAAATAGAAAGGAGATGGAAACTTATACCAGTCGTGATTAATATGGTAGAAGAGAAAATAAAATCCTCTGCGTACGAAAGTTCCTGAAAAGTTATAGCAGGGAGAGAGAGAGAGAGAAAGAGAGAGAGAGAGAGAGAGAGATTCCAGAATCCTCAACATGGCACCATACTAGACACTCTTTGGGTCATGAAGTAATCTGTGGGACTGTTCTTCTCAAGGTTTATTGTGTGTATCCCCTTCCCTCAGTTTACCTTTTTATGTTTGTAGTAGTGGAGGCAGCCATCATGTTTCAGCACAAACCACCTCTTCCTCCAACCCTTCAGGAAGCCAGAATGAGTCCTCTTATGCAGGTAGCCACGGCAGGTGGGCCAAGGTGTGTTGGGGCAGCGACTGATGTCAGATCCCACCACCAGAGTCAAGATGTCTGGACCTAGAGGCATGAGTTTTGGCTAGTTCAGTGATTGAAAGACTCTTAGAATCACTGGCAATGAGTGAAGACTGAATAAGTAATTGTTACAGATTTTAGAAATGGGATAAAATAGAATCCTAGTACTGACTACATCAAATTCCTTAGTAATTCAAATCCTTGAGATTATGAAAAAAAAAAAAAGAAACTGGAGGGATAAAATTATAGGGAGCTGAACTGGGACCTAGGTTTTCTGATTCGTGGTAGAGAGCTCTTTTACTTAGCCAATACTGCCATGTGTTTTCTAGTAATGCACCCTTTAAGTCCATTCATTTTTATTGGGTATAATAATCAGAAGCTGCACTTTTAAACATACAGTGACTTACTTCCTAAAACAAAGGATGAGTAATGTTTTTGCCTTTTCTACCTCACTTTAGTTTAAAAATAATTACCCTCTTTGGCCAAGGCAGGATCTAAGTCACTGCTCAATTTTTTGTCAGCATTGCCCCTCTCTCAAAGTCAATTTCCAGGGTTTTGTTTTTGTTTTATTTGTTGTTGGTCGTGGGGCTTGAACTCTGGGCTCTGTCCCTCAGCTCTTCAGCTCAAGGCTAGCACTCTACTACTTGAGCCACAGAGCCACAGTGCCACTTATGGCTTTTTTCTGCTTATGTGGTGCTGAGGAATCGAACCCAGGGCCTTATGCATGCAAGGCAAACACTCTACCACCGAGTCACCTTCCCAGTTCCCCCAGTTCTTGAAGTTAGAAGGAGACAGAAGTTCTACAAGCGCAGAGATACTTGATTTTCTTCTGTCTGTCTGACTTAGACTGTGAGTTTAACACTGGGCTTCCAGATTCCCCTCCTTTCCATGTGACAATGCCCTCTTTGTTGCCTGGACCTAAGTGGTCTCCCCTTTCCCTTAAGTCTGGCATGGGGTATATCTTGGAGGAATTTGACCCTGCTCCTGTTAATATGAGGTCACTATTTTCCCACTTGTGTTCTGATGCTGCCAGCATGGACACAGATTTTTTTTTTATCACATACCTACCTTCTGATGGCTTAAAACAAGTGTCTGAATGTCACTTAGATGGACAGCAACCCTGCCATGCTCTGAAGACTGCAAATGGGGTATGACTTCATTTACAATTCCTCTGAGAGGGAGGCCACATCCCTGAAGGGGGACATTTGGCCTGACTTGGCAGCGCCTGACTTCATCATGATGTCTGACATTGAGATTACCGATCTGTTTAGAGCTGTCTATGGAAATGGGGGTCAGGGAGGAGACTCTTCCTCTATAAATGACAAGCACCAGCCCAAGGGATCATTCCTGGCTGAGCCACATGGCCCCGAAAATAAAGATTTGTCCCAGAAAAGGCTGACACAGTCTTAACTTTAGCAGCACGCAAAGCACCTTGGTAATTAAATAACTCTCTGTGTGTCAAGATAATTCTTCATTGCCATGTAAATACATTTTAATTTATTGAACTGCCCTTAAGCTCCTGTCAAAACACATCCCGAAAAATTAGAAGAAATACTCCAGATTGACCAGTAACCCACAAATGTCTTTGTCTTTGCACTTCAGTCCCCAAAGAACTGTACTCCTGGACTAATATACATAGTTGACACATCTGCCAATTTATTTATGTACCGCTGCAGCGGGGGGACGCCTCCAGGGGTCACTTTCTTCTTGCTTACACAGACTGCATGTGGGTTTCTCTGATACTGATCAGGCAAAGCTTGTGTTTCAGCATGGCCATACACATAACTTGGTGCACCAGGAAAAAAAAAAAGCTCTCTAGGACAGCGATACAGATGGCCTTGCTGTAGCCTGCTGGTATCATCTATCTTATTAGCGAAGAGTTTTTCACATTCAGGGTGAAGACATGAGCCTGTTGCCTTGGGACTTACTGGGTTCTAAATAGTTGTTGGGCAATAGTGGTATTTTATCCTTTACAAAGTCCTACCAGGGTCCAGAGGGTTACTTTACATTCACAGTGGCTCATTTTTTTGGGGTCCGGTCATGGGGCCTGAACTCTGGGCCTGGGTGCTGTCCCTCAGCTCTTCAGCTCAAGGCTAGCACTCTACCGCTTGAGCCACAGCGCCACTTCCGGCTTTTTCTTTTTTTTTTGCTTATGTGGTGCTGAGGAATCGAACCCAGGGCCTCAGGCATGCAAGGCAAGCGCTCTACCACTGAGCCACCTTCCCAGCCCCTCACAGTGGCTCATTTTTTTAATGTAAGTTTTTCATTGTGAAAATACTGTACAGAGGGGTTGCAATTACATGAGCAAGGTAATGAGTATATTTCTTATCAAGCATTATTGCTTCCTCCTTTGTTTTTCCCCTTCCATCCCTTCCCTCTGACCTCCTCAACTACACTCCCCTCCCCAGCCTAAATTGTAAAGTTCATTTTTTAACATAGTGTCTTCTACATCTCATTGTTGCAATGGGTCCATCTGTATCCCTACTTAAACAATTTGTTTTTTCCCTTCCCCTCCCCAAATTATAACAGCATCAAATACAGTGAAAGCAGGGGTTATACCATGGGGGAGGAATACACAAAGCAACAAAAAAATCACACGGTACCTTATAAATATGTTAGAAACAATAGCAAGCAAGAAAAAAATACTTGTGTCCCTATCTTGGGGTTCATTTCACTTAACTTCATCTTATCTGGTCATATATATATAGCTTTAGACATTTTCTGCTTGTCCCAGACATATACAGGTTATTGCAAATAAGGGAAACCATGGGACCTATGTTTCTTTAGGCCTGACTTACTTCACGTAATAAAATTTTTTCCAGCTCTTTGCATTTCCTAACAAATGGGGCAATGTCATTCTTTCTGAAGGAGGCATAGAATTCCATTGTGTGTGTGTGTGTGTGTGTATATATATATATATATATATATATATACCACATTTTCTTAATCCATTCATCTACTGAGGGGCATTTGGGTTAGTTCCATATCTGAGCTATGGTAAATAATGCTGCAATAAACATAGTTGTGCTGGTAGCTTTAGTATGGCCTTGTTTGTGATCATTCAGGTAAATGCCCAGAAGTGGGATTGCGGGGTTATAGGGGAGCTCTATGTGGAGTCTTTTGAGGAACCTCCATACTGTTTTCCAAAATGGTTGAACAAGTTTACAATCCCGCCAACAATGAAGTAAGCTTCCCTTCTGTCCACATCCCCTCCATCATCTGTTGTTATTGGAGTTCTTGATTGTAGCCATTCTAACTGGGGTGAGGTGGAATCTCAATGTTTTGCGCTGCATTTCTTTCATGGCTAGAGAGCTTGAGCATTTCTTCATGTGTCTATTGGCCATTCTTATTTCCTCTTCAGAGAAGTTTCTCTTTAAGTCTTTAGTCCGCTTATTTATCGGGCAGTTGCTTCTTTGAGGATTTCTTGTTGGGGGATTTACTTTTTTGAGTTTCAAGTATGTTTTAGATATGAGACCCATATCTGTTGTTTGGCTAGTGAAGATCTTTTCCCAGTTCGTGGGCTTTCTATTGATCTTGCTAGCTATGTCCTTTACCATGCAGAAGCTCTGCAGCTTCATGCAATCCTATTTGTCCAACGTTTCTTTGATTTGTTTTGTTTCTGGGTCTCTATTAAGAAAATTTTGTCCTGTGCCAAGGAGACCTAGGGTTTCTCCTATTCCATCCTGTTTTCTGGATGTCTGCTTTGGCTCCCATGTCTTGGATCCATTTGGAGTTGATTCTGGTGCAGGGTGATATATAAGGATCTAGCTTTAGTTTTCTACAGGTGATTAACCAATTTTGACAGTGCTCATATTTGATATGTACATTTTGGGTGAAATCTTTAAAAAATATTAGTTGTATAGTCACTATGGTTGTCCTAAGTGTTTGTTGGATAAATTAACTTGACAAATACAAATATTTAAAACTTTATTTTTGTTATGACTTATGAACTTACTAGGATCTAAAATTATAAAGGGTCTTAGTTCAATACCTCTCCATCTAATTAGGAATGCAAATCACCTGGTCTGTTTAACTGTATAGCCTTGTTCAGTGGTTTTGACATGTGGTCTTACAGTCTACAGTGGCAAAAAGTGCTCAGGTAATGTTGGATAGAAATTAGAATTCCACATCCTTAGGCCTTTCTCATTTTTCAAGAGTCTGTATTACTTAGTTTACAGTCTTTGCCTTTAACAATGGTATTTCTTCCTTTCTTTGACTATGATTTAGTTTCTCCTGGCTTTAGTTTTTACCTCGACATTTCTTGGCAATAAAATGATTACTTCCCCCTCCCTCATATAACTTATTTTTATCTTCCCACCCTGGAGGAAGGAAATACATAAACACTGTCTTCCTTTACTGGATGTTGCTTGCTTTTGAGGAAAGGTGAAATGTAGGAAGCTGAAAGATGGACGTCTACTGCCAGAGGTGCATTTCATGAGATGAAGGAGTTTGAAGACCTACATGTTTAACTTAATTCTTTGGTGATAGCATCCTTCAAAACAAAAGCAAGCCAGTAAACACTTCTTCCCAAATACTTTGGCCTGGAGGTTTGGAAGTAAGGAGTTGTGGTGAGGCTATTTACAGCTTCAAGAAAGAGAAAAATAATTTCTTTTTCTAATTCACACTCTTTCCTTGGCTCACTGCTTTCTTCCTATGTCACCAATCTTAAACTGTCTCAGAGTCACACCTCTGCTGTCAGACAAACTCTGCCACCCTCACAAATGTGACCAAGAAATGTGCAAGACATATTCATCCCAGAGGGCACACTGCATTCAGCAGTGGAGAGCAGGACCCCTGGAGGCTCTGGGGTGTTTGATTTTAGTAAAACTTGCATTTAGTAAGGCAAAGACATCCTAATTGGGCAAAAGACTTCTAAGCTGATTAAACTGTACTATGTCCCTTTACTCTCTTCACTTGGAATTAAATCTTCTCTTTAGGTTTCCAACTATTCAGTCCTATAAACACCAAAACCAGGCTGTGAGGGAACCCTCATTAAAACAAAGATTCAGCTGGTTGTAGTAACATACATCTCCAATCCCAGCACT